TCCGCGACAAATTACCGACAACAAACTGCTTCATTGCCAGTCCACACATCACAATACTGTAACGATTAGTAAGAATGAATGAAAACCCGGGGAAAAAAATTCTGGAACTCATCTATATTGATTTATTAACAAATACAATCTACCAATTTTTCTAAAGCTTCTTCAATAAAAAAAAAGAAATCTAAAGCTGAACGAACGCCAATATCCCGGACATTGCGACCATTTCAGCCACTAGATATGCAAGATATGGAAAAAGCAAGCAAATCAGCGGTTGAACAACGTTTAAATGCCGGGAATGCCTGAAAGGAAACTTGCTATCATGAACTCAAAACTGCTCTGGCACACACTCTTGCTGTATACTTACAATTCGCAGATTTTTACAGTTGATTACAACCACTATCAGTACCGGCGGGGAATCCTCCACGTTGATGAAATGCAACCACACGGCTCGCTTAGCCCTCTTACACCCTTAGCGTATTGTCCGGAGTGGTCGCTTTTACTCAGTAATCAGATGTTTAAAACTCATAAACCCGACTGTCAACAAAGGCGTTGCAAGCTATTTGATGTACGGTTGCACTAAGACTGCATCTCCGAGTCTCGTCCTGCTGAAAATTTTACTGGCTTTTTTCGAGGCCATTTGGCACTTATTTTTTGGTGGAAAAGGAGAATAATTCTTGGACAAAAATCACCTCGTCTCTTCTTTGTCAAAAGCATGATTCAAAAGTCCTAAACTAACTTACTGCCTAAGTTCTCAACAATCATAGCTTTCAATCATATACTTTTTTCATCAAGGTATAAACAGAAGGCTACTTGGTTGTGAAGCCAGTGAATATTGCCCAGAGAAGTCCGATCAGTATGCCGCCTATCGAGACCACAAAGAATGATGAAGCAGCAACAGCGTAATCCCCGTGTGTAAGGCTTTCTGCATCCACCATTGCATTGAAAGTTTGATAAAGCACCTTAAAAAACAAATATGAGATTGCAAGGGTCCTAAACAGAACTTCATACTGCTCTTTCTGATCACCAAAACTTTCTTTCAAATAAAATAACACCATCTTCTGTTCTGTTAAAAATATTCATGCATACATATACTAAGGTGCCACTGCATAAATGAGGCGATCCAACCACACTGAAGCGGATGAGACACAACTTCATTTTCCCCTTCACGAATTCTAGCCCAATTATCATGACGAGCTTAAAAGCACGAGAATAAGATGCAGTCTGCTGATTCTAGCAGGACTTATCACAGGCCAGAAGACACCAACGCCGTTTCTAGTCCGTCTAAAAGATCAAGAGGAAGAAGGGTTAGAGAACTGTGACAATCAACTGCACCTATTAACGAATATTAAGTGAATACCCTCAATTACATGGTTGGAAGATCTTACTATAGTAACAGCATCGTTCAGCAGCGATTCGCCGAAAACACAGATGTACAGCAACTGATTAACGTGTATTTCTTCGAAAACGCATAGCACGGCCACTGGATCAACCGCAGATATCAGCGTCGAAAACAGAAATAATTCAATTAACGATGTTTGCACTTTGAAATAGCCGTGTAAAAAGTACAGTGTCATTCCTGGGAAAATTGTACTGTTATTAAACACTGCCAGCCGACCAAGACAGTTTGAATTTTATAATGTTCCCGAAATCGAAAAAACAGATGATCACCAAACTACAGGAATCAGTCTTGAAATTACATGAGTGCAGTGTAACCATGCGTCAAGCGCGCTCGCGAGGTAAATTTCTGTCCAGGACAACTAGTTTGTTTCAGCCTTTATATAACTGTAATTTTTGTTCTTCCGCTAC